GTGCTGGTCATGGATTGTCCATAACAAACACCATGTTCAAATACAAGGGTGTCCATACAGTATGTGCTCTTGGTACCAGGACACTGTAGGCCACAGCTCGATGATCGACTTTGTTGTCGTTTCATCTTATTTGTGGCTGCATGTCTTGGACACTCGGGTGAGGAGAGGGGCTGAGCTATCAACTGACCACTATCTGGTGGTGAGTTGGCGCCGATGGTGGGGGAGGATGCCGGTCAGCCCTGGCAGACCCAAACGTATAGTGAGGGTATGCTTGGAACGTCTAGAAAAATCTCCCATCAGACTTGAACTCCTACCTCCAGGAGAACTTAGAACACYTTCAAGAGGAGATTGGGGACATTGAGTCCAAGTGGGCCATGTTTCGTGCCTCCATTGTCGAGGCACTGGAGCTGTGGCTGCAAGGTTGTCAATATCTGTCGTGGTGGCAACCTTTGAACCCGCTGGTGGACACGAGTGGTGAGGGATGCTGTCAGGCTGAAGAAGGAGGCCTATTGGGTCTTTCTGGCTTGTGGGACTCCGGAAGCAGCTGATGGGTACAGACAGTCCAAATGAATTGTGACTCAGGTGGTCGCTGCAGCAAAAACTCAGGTGTGGGAGGAGTTTGGAGAGGCCATGGAAAAAGACTTCTGTACGACTTTGAGATGATTCTGGTCCACCATGCAGCATCTCAGGGAGAGAAAGCGGTCCACCACCTACACTGTTTATGGTAGGGATGGTGCGCTGTTCACCTCAACGCAGAACGCTGTGGGTCGGCGGGCAGAATACTTCAAAGACCTCCTCAATCCCACCAGCACGTCTTCCAATGAGGAAGCAGAGCCTGGGGACCCTGGGTCTGGCTCTCTAATCTCTGGCGCTTATGCCATGGAAAAAATAGCGGAAGCTAATTTAAAAGCGCAAGTTCAATTTGCCACTTACTAGCTGGCAATAATTCATGTACAATATATGCACAACACTTCCAACTAGCAGTAAATGAACTCTTTTACAACTTCATTCTGCAACCGCCGATTGCTGGGGATGTGATTTCCTGAAACAGACCTTTTAGCTCCTGGTGTAAAAATTAAAAAGTTGTTGAGGATTGCTAGTTCAGCTGCTTCTTTATCTTTTTCTTTTGTTTGTTGTAGATTTTTCATTAAAGAAGCATCATTAAAGTAATTTTAAAACTGTTTATTGGAAAACTGAAGCGATGCATTCTGGGTACATGACCGATTTTATTTGTGACGGGAAACATGTAGTTGCTCCAGTTGACTACTAGGTGTCAGTCTTCATCAGCATAACATCTTTAAATCATTTCTGAGTCTCTTAACACCGTTGGCCGATTGCTTCGACCAATTACATCAAGTATTGAGCTCCAGCATTTAAATTTTTTTAAAGGAGCTCCGATTGTAAAGTAAAATAAATCAATACATACAAAATTTTAGTATGGATTACAAACTTTAACTGTTTTTGCTATTGCCTTTCTGCTATGTAAGCAGACACAAAGCATTGTGGGAAATCAGAACCGTGGCTGAAAGCAACACTCAGCAAGGATGTTGAGAGAGCTGAGCCAGAAGGCGAAGCTCTCGATTTACCGGTCTGTCTACGTTCCTACCCTCATCTGTGGTTAAGAGCTTTGGGTAGTAACAGAAAGAACGAGATTGTGGATACAAGTGGCCGAAATGAGTTTCCTCCACAGGGTGTCTGGGCTCTCCCTTAGAGATAGAGTGAGAAGCTCAGTCATTTGGGAGGGACTCAAGTAGAGTCGCTGCTCCTCCTCATTGAGAGGAGCCAGTTGAGGTGGCTCGGGCAGGATGCCTCCTGGATGCCTCCATAGTGAGGTGTTCTGGGCACATCCTACTAGGAGGAGACCCAGAGGAAGACTCAGGATATTCTGGAGGGACTGTTTCTCAGCTGGCCTGGAAAAGCCTTGGGATTCCCCCAGATAAGCTGGCCCAAGTGGCTGGGGAGGGGGAAGTCTGGCTGCTGCCTCCGTGACCCGATCCTAGATAAACAGAAGAAAATGGATGGAGGGACCGCAGAGTGTGTTCTGACTAGACGGGGATTACATTTCTGAGCCTCCCTGGTTTGGTCTATTCAGGTCCTGGAGAGGAGGGCCTGTCGGATAGTCAAATCTTGYATTCAGGAAGAGCAGTGTGGTTTTCGTCCTGGTCGTGGAACATTGGACCAGCTCTACACCCTAAGCAGGGTCCTGAAGGGTACATGGGAGTTTGTTCAACCAATCCACATGTGTTTTGTGGACTTGGAGAAGGTGTTCAACCGTGTCCCTCTGGTAGTCCCGTGTCGGGTATTCCGGGAGTATGGTGCACCAGGCCCATTGATATGGGGGTGGCTGTGGTAGAGTGGGGTGGCTGTGCTAGAGTGGTTAGGGGAGTCATCCTGGAACCGGAAGGTCGCCGGTTCGATCCCCGTCCAGTTGAGACAGTCGTTGTGTCCTTGGGCAAGACACCTTACCCACCTTGACTACTGATGGTGGTCAGAGGGTCCGGTGGCGACTGTGTATGGCAGCCTCGCTTCTTTTGCCCCAGGGCAGCTGTGGCTACAATTGTAGTTTGCCATCATCAGTGTGTGAATGTGAGTGTGCATGGGTGAATGTCTGTAGTGTGAAGTGCTTTGAGTGTCCTGGATGGATAGAAAGGTGCTATATAAGTACAGTCCATTTACCATATGGGCTGTTAGGTRCCTGTACGACCAGTGTCCAAGCTTGGTCCACATTACTGGTAGTAAGTCGAACTCGTTTCCAGTGAGAGTTGGACTCCACCAAGTTTGCTCTTTGTCTCTGATTCTGTTAATAACTTTAATGGACAAAATTTCTAGGTGCAGCCAAGGTGTTGAGGGGATTCATTTTGTTGGCCTTATGATTACGTCTTTGCTTTTTGCGGATGATGTGGTCCTATTTGCTTCATCAGATCGTGATCTTTAGCTCTCCCTGGAGTGGTTCATAGCTACGTGTGAAGTGGTTGGGATGAGGATCAGTTCCTCCTAATCTGAGACCACTATCTTGAGCTGGAAAAGGGTGGAGTGCCTCCTCCAGGTCGGTGAAGAGGTCCTGCACAAAGTGGAGGAGTTTAAGTATCTCGGGGTCTTGTTTATGAATGAGGGAAGAATGGAGTGGGAGATCGATAGGTGGATTGGTGCTGCTTCTGCAGTGATGTGGGCGCTGTACCGATCTGTTGTGTTAAAGCAAGAGCTGAGCCAAAAGGCGAAGCTCTCAATTTAACTGTTGACCTACATTCCCACCCTCATCTGGTCACGAGCTTTGGGTAGTGACGAAAAGAACATGCTGCCGAAATGAGTTTCCTCAGCAGTGTGTCTTTTGTCTGGGCTCTCCTTTAGAGAAAGGGTGAGAAGCTCGGTCATCCAGGAGCGTCTCAGAGTAGAGCCGCTGCTCCTCCACATTGAGAGAAAGTGGCTCAGGCATCTGGTTAGGATGCCTCCCTGGTGTGGCGTTCTGGGCATATCCCACTGGGAAGAGACCCAGAGGAAGACCCAGGACACGCTGGAGGGACTGCTTTTTGGCTGGCCTGGGAACACCTTGAGATTCCCCCAGAAAAGCTGGCTCCAAGTGGCAGGGGAGAGGGAAGTCTGGGTCTCTCTGCTTAGGCTGCTGCCCCCAAGACCTGATCTTGGAAAAGTGGAAGAAAACAGACAGAATCTTCTCATGTCATCGAGTTTTAAACAAAAATATCTTTTCAAAAAACCTTCATTACTCAGCTTCTGTCAACTACACATTAAACAGTAGACTGTGTATTTATTTTGTGTGCATAGACCAGAGGTGTCCAATTCTGGTCCTCAAGGGTCACCATTCTGCAGGTTTTGAAAGTGTCTCTGCTCCAACACACATGATTTGAATGAATGGGGCATTGACAGACTTCTGCAGAACTTGAAGAGGTAATATAGTCACTGACTCAAGTGTATTGGAGCAACAAAACCTCTAAACCTGGGGTGGGGGAGATGCATCGAGGGCCACAACCCTGCATGTTTTACTTGTTTCTCTTCTCCAACACACCTGATTTGAATTGATTAGGTGAGTGGGTGATTATCAGACTTCTTCAGAACTTGGAAGAGGTAATTCAGTGACTGAATCAGCTGTGATGGAGCAGGGAAAAAAGTAAAACATGCAGGGCTGTAGCCCTCAAGGACCAGGATTGCCCACCCCTGCTCTAYACCAAGCAGCCCTGGAGGACCAGGATTAGACACCCCTGACTGACTGTTTGTATCAAACTTCTGTCTGTTTTTTAACAATGTATTTTGACCATCAGGTTTGCTGGAATGGGTAACTTGCTAAAAGTCCTAACAAGAGAAATAGAGAACTATCCACACTTCTTCCTGGACTTTGAAAGTAAGTGTGGCAGATGAGTAAAGCAGAAACAAGGTGTGGGGAGGGAAGGAGATGTTTCCTTTCTGTCAGCTGCTCTCCATGACAAACCCATGAAAGGGTCTGCGGTCTTTCCTCTTTTTTTATTTTCCTCCTTTGCTTCTTTTCTCCTTCAGTTTCCTCTGCGTGGTTATGATCTCCAGCTCTGTTCGGATAACTTTTTTGTGACATTTTAACATCAAATACTTCCTTTCTGTCCTTTTTTGCTTTTTGTCTGTCTTTTGCAGAAACCAAATGGGGAATCTGTTAAAAGTGCTAACTTGCACTGAGCTTGAGCAGGGACCAAACTTTTTTCTTMACTTTGAAAGTGAGCACAACTTTTTATATCCTTTAAAGCACTAAACACGTCAACTTTTCCCTGATTATCTTTCCTCCTATCTGGTGGGTCAGGGGTCAGCATGTTCAACTATCTGAACTGTGCTTTAAATTTTTTGTGTTGCCTCTGAAAGCTTTTAATTACGATTAACATCAGTACTATGTAACATTTCTATTCTCTGGGCTTGAAAAATTAAGCTGACATTTGACCTGTGCTGTCTGCATAAAGGCTCCTGTGTGGCACACTCATAATGTGGCATAGTTAACACTTTTTATATATGTATTGTTTCAAACACAGTTTTATTCCTGTTCTTGTCTTGTTCCACAGTTCAAAATTTCCAACTAGAATCAAAAATTGTGCACTAAAAGAAATATGTTTTTTCATTTCATCACTGTAGTAAAAACACAGGATTTACTTCAGGCCTTTGTTGAGACCTACAGTATTAAAAAAAACACCAATACACTCTCACAGCGGTATTTCAGCTGCTGTCAACCTCAGACTTTGTTTATTCATGAAGGAGGAAATGATAGAAGTAGGAAGGTTTTTGAAATGCAAACCAAACCAGACACCCACGTTTTTAATGTCCGTGCTTCTCTATATTTAAAGCTGTTGCAGTAAATGTGAGTAAAAGCCGGTAGTCTAAGTTTAGTGCAGAGACGTGGCAGTAGTATGTTGACTTGGGATGGATTTGTGTTAGATATAAAAAATATTTCAACTCTGACCTTTACTTGTTCACACATATATTAAGCTCAAGTTATTTATTCTTTGTTTTCATTTTCTAGATTGATAAAGATACTCAAATGGAGACTTAAGGGAGTTGCATCATACTCATAAACAAAATAATGCCATATTTTTTGAGATTTAAGCAAATGTCTATCTGCTGAGTATTATTGATTATATTGAGTAATAGAATTACACAGACTACATATGTAATCTTTCAGCTAAAATTTGGGAAATCATGTCTTTGTGGCCTTAAAGATTGTCCTAGTGGGTAAAATTGTTCAAAATACTCAAACTAATGAATGAAATTGTTGTTCTTTTCAGTAGCGGCTCGTGAGCATGAAAATTGGTGGGGCGGACATTGTTTTCCTAAATCAATATAAACACAATTTGCGGCGTGTTTTCTGTGAAAAATATAGGCTATACTTTTAATCAGTTATTTGTGCACAAAGTTGTTGTCTATTTTCTCCCTCACCGTCTCGTTAAAAAAAAAAAGGTCGGGACATAAGCAAAAAGCCTCCCACCCGAACTTATTTACCAGTAGTTGTTGGAGAAATTGATCAGACAGGTAGCTAGTATACACAGCTTTCTGGATTAGATTTCTAAGAGAATTTTGAGTAGGCGTAATATTCTGTAATAAAGTTAAAGATGTCTTGTGAAAAAATTTTTTATGAAAGTAAAATAAAAATAAAACGGTGAACTATGCATTCTGCATGGACATAAGTAGGCGAATCTGATTAAATGGCCATTCGGAATAAAAATGTGTCATCCACCGGTTTATGCTCCAGCAGCACAGAACCGATAAACAAGGAAGACAAACAGGATGCGTTGCTTCCCCCCACCACAGACACACGCACGCACACAGTGCACATCACCCGTAGCTCAACCAGCCAGTGCAGTACCGTCTCCACTGTTACTAAAACCTGGAACCATGACTTCAGCTCTATAGCCTAGCACAAATTTAGCTCAGTAATTCACACACAGTTGCCACAGATTAGGTTAAAACTGTCCTACCTTCTTGGCAAAAAAAAGTCCTGTTCCCTTTTATGTCCTTAGTTCTTGGTGTTCAGTTCAAGCTTGCCCTGCCTGCTCCAAATCCATTTTTAAACAGAATATCTCCTCCTCTGTTGGATACAAGTTTTGCTGAGRGATATTCCTGCATTTTATGAGCTCGCGTTAGGTTTACTCTGTTTATATCAATGCGCTAAAAGCAGCAGAAAGTGTCCATAGTGCTGGATTTTTACTGCCCCAAAGAGACTCTAATCAGAGGAGTTGGTAATACCAATTATTGCCAGCAGGGGGCGTATAAATTAACATGATAGGAACGCAGAGCGTCAGACTGTACTGCCCTYTGACTGTAAATAAGTAAAAACCTGAGCTATAGTCACTGAAAAACATTTAAAATTGTCAAAGCAATTGAGAAGCACACAGAACAAAACAATACATGGTAGGCTGCGTAAATTAGCATTTTACATTGTTTATTAGGAGGAACTGCTTTGTGGGGTGAATGAATATTGTTTTAGGTGGGGCCGCACCCCACCTGCCCTTATAGACGAGCCGCGCCTGGTTCTTTTCCTCTTTTGCTAGCCTTTTTTAGTTTAGAACTAAAAACAAGCAAGCAACAAACAAGTGGCGTCCCAGTACCAATACCAGCATCAGTACATTTATCGATACTCCATTGAATGTGTTACAGTTTAAATTTAAAGGGAAAACTTTGTCACTTCCATGCTTAAGAAATTTATACAAGTTGAAATAAATGATTTTTATTTATATAAACGTGGCAACAGTATATATCATGTTGTATYTATGATTTGATATAGTCAGAGAGGGGCTGTAGACCTATATGGAAGAAAAGTCACCTAATTCTAGTTAAAAGAAATGTCTTTTTAAAGTAATTGTGTAATGTTTAAGTTCTAACTCAGTAAGTACTTTGAATCAGGAAGTACCCAAGCTGATGTACTTGTACTCAATTTGAGAAAAACTGGTATCAGGATATTCACCTGCAAAACACTTCTTTAGTTGTCCTGTTTATTAATTGACTCAATAACTAGTTTTAGAGCTTTTTTTCAGAAAAACACTCATGTTTATGATTTGTTTGCACCTTTAACAATGCAGTGAATATTTGCACAGTGTGTTCTGGATAGTGTGTGATGTCAGAGTGTATTAATCTGCTTTGGATTCTGTTTTCTGTGTCGTCATAAATAAAATAGCTGTTTTTACTACTTTTACACTTACGGAAAGCATCACATAGATTACAAAAAAACTATTTATCAGGGGTATAAGATGACAACAACATTAAAGTCAGTGAAAAGGTTTAGGGATCTTATTTCAAAAAACAGAATGTATTTTTTTTTCTGATTGCCACAGCATCATTGTTTTTGTGTTTGTATGTTTACACCAAGGTTTGAGTTTCTGTTTGAGCTGACTGATTTTTGTGTGTTAGATGCACAGCCGACAGACGGAGAACATAATGTGTGGAACCAGGTGGACTCGGTCCTTCGGGACTCTGAGAGCATCCTGACGGGCCTGCAGGCCTACAAAGGAGCAGGACAGGAAATCCGAGATGTAAGAAAACACTCTAGGATGTTCAAAAACTCTTAACTTGTATTATTTAAAATAAAAATTAAGACTGTAATATGAGTTGTTTCACTTAAACATCCACTCAAGTAGTTTTGAATAAATAGTTGTTTACAGCCCCAAATTGATTATTCATTTGGGAAGTCCAAATTATGATTTATTGAATTTATAACTAGTAGTGGACTGTTTCATCATCCGATTTTGCTGTTTTTTTTTTTTTTGTCTCGTCTTCAGGCAATTCAAAATCCCAATGACCTGTTGCTGCAGGAGCTAGCCTGGAACTCTGTCTGCCCACTTGTCTTCAAATTGAAGAATTTCTACGATTTCTCAACCAGACTAGGTGTGTTCACACTGCCCTGTAAATTAGCATGCAGTAAAAACGTTTGTGAATTTTATGAAAGTAAAATGAAATATATAGGAATGCCTGATATCACAATATTGAAAATATTGTTTTGTGTAATGATATTTTCATTCACAACTAATACTAAGATATAATATAATATATATAATATAAGATACATTCTGAGGTAGTCTTACTATTCATCCAATTATGCCCCTAGGTTAGTCAAATATGAATTATTAATTATTTTTATACTGTATGTTCTAGACAATTTTAAAGAGAGTTGGCACCAACAAAATCTCTAAGCTATACATATTATGAGATGTCTTTGTTTGAAATATCGGCAAAACTTACCTCAACTCAGGTTGGCTGTGGCGCAGTAGTAGGGCAGCCGATATGTCATGGTGTCCTTGAGCAAGATACTTAATTCCAGCTTGCATAGCTGCCCTCTGCTCCTCTTGGGTGTATCTCATGTGTAATAGATTAAATGCAGAGGACAAATTGTGTCATTGTATGGGGACACAGAATAATYATAAAATAGGCCTTTTTACACTGTTACACCTGGCTTGGGTTCAAACTCTGGTTCAGTTTGCYTTAACAAGTATTATGGCGCTGTTCCACCCCCATTTCTGGGACCCTAAGATCTGTGGTGACATTAGCTACTCTTGCCCATTGATTGGTTCACTGACTGGCACGTCACCACACACAGATGAGATAATTTMTATTGTGTGAAATGACTGTAATGTTTTTCTCAAACAAGTTCAACTAAATAACAATTGTAGCAAACTACCAAGCAACAAAAAGTTAACATTAGCTAACATTAGCTTACTGTTTTCTGTTGTCTTGCCCTCTTTGTCATTATGACTTCAAGGAATGCTAATAATGCTAATAATTAAAAGGAAGACTTTCAGCTATTTTAAAGCATTTGTCAGCTGATTATCTGTCTTAATAACAAATCCTCAACATATAATGTCAGTGCTGTCTTTCTTACTGTTGAAATGGTTCATCTATGGTGAAGATGGTGGCTGATGTCTGTGTTTGTTAACAGAGGATGCTCTTAAGAGTCTGTTGGAGTCCCTGACGTGCCCACCACTCACACCGACTCAGCACCTGGAGAGGGAGCAGGCGCTAGCCAAGCAGTTTGCAGAGATCCTCCACTTCACTCTGCGCTTCGATGAGCTTAAGGTCTGCTTGACACACACAAACTCACTTTCCTCAGAGTCACACACACAGTCTTACTGTATGTGTTAGGGCTGAGTTTGTACTGTTTGTTTGGATTCAGATGAGAATTCCTGCCATTCAGAATGACTTCAGCTACTACAGACGGACCATCAGTCGAAATCGGCTAAACAACATGAATGTAAGTTATCAAGAAATGAAAGATTGCTTTTATTTTACATTTTGTTATTTTTTTTATATAACAATCTTTAAAAAGTTAAAATGTGTGAAATGTAAATAAAACAAAATCAAATCTCAAGTTTTAAGTGTCATTGTATCGTACAAGGAAATATCAAATGTTTAAACTAAGAAATTTTACCATTTGTTAAAAGAAAATTAAAATAATTTTAATTTGATGTAGCAACATATCTTAAAAAGTTTTGACAAGTGATAGGAATAAGAAACAGATGGATTTTGCAACTAATTACTGTAATTATGTGTGAGMATAATGCAAACCTGAATTTTTTTTGTGTGTGTGCTTAAAAAGGCTTTAAAAATCTAATCCTGGCATAAAATGATTCCCCTAATTTGAGACAGACTTTAGGAATTTTCAGGCTTTGTGGTGTACTCTCTGGTGYGGAAACAAATTGTTTTAAGGATGCACACTTGTGAGCGTGTTTGTGGCTGCAGAGCAAAAGTCTGCAGAAGGAACAGCCTGTGCATCTATATGTCACAAAAAATGATTTGCTACCAGAGTAGAAGCTGGTTAAGTTAGCAAGATGGAAGGCTTCAAGGAGCAGCTCGTCTGGTTTTATTGAGTATGCAAATGTGCAACTGACTTCCACGTCTTCTTTCCATCTCCATGTTTCTTAAGAAAAACAACTAGTTTTTCTTCCTCCAAGTAGGAAAAAAAAACAGCTAGCTTTCATATACTTWGTTATGCATGACATATTCAACAGTGGGAGAGTGGAGGGAGAAATTATTATGATTTATTCCCAGTGACACAATATTTCACTTATATATGAGAAAATATAAAAAATTATTGTGGCAAAATATTTTGGTTAAAAAAAACTCTTGTGCGTATAGTACGAAGCCAAAATTTATTGATGATTTTTGGGTTTAAAAATTTACATTATACATGCATAAACGGTAGGGTTATTGGCAGCAGGGGCCTCATGTACAAAAACTTGCGTGGATTTTTTACTGAAACCTGACGTACGGTCAAATCCAGAAAARGACGTACGCACAAAAAAATCCAGATGTATCAAACTGTGCGTATGCCTGAATCCACACACATTTGTTTTGTACATCACAATTAACGTGGAACTGAGCGCACATGAGACACCTCCCCTGACACGCCTTCATTAACATGTGTTAAACAGATGCAAATTACTTCCTGCATGTGGGAAGGACACGTTTGAGTGATCCCTGCGCGATCAGAAATGGTTTCTAAAGTAATAAAAATAATGAATTTAATATAATGTGAGTGAGTGTTACGACCCGGCTCGAAGAGTTGCAACATAATTGGAAACACGACACAGGATGCCAGTTTAAACCTTTAGAAGGCCATTTATTTAAAGTGTCTAGGAGTAAAAAACTGTGAGTGGGTGTCGCCCTCGGTGCTCCATACGATGGATGCACAGAGCGTCTGTCTCACCACCTGGACCACTTCAGGAGTGTGGTCCAGTACCAGATCTGCCTCCACATCAAGGTCTCTGACTGGTCACTGTCCTGTCCACCGTCGTGCTCCCGGTAGACCTTCTTGTCCACCATTTAACGTCCTCTCTCGGAGTCGTCTCCTTCTAGAAGAAAGCTGTCGTTCTCGTCCCGGTCCGTACATCACCATTCAGTCAGTTCCAGCCTTTTTGCGCCACCAAGCCGTCCTCGTGCGCCCGTCTTCGGATCCCAGCGTACCTGATGCCTTTCCTCACACCAGCAATCACGACTTGGTTCCCCACTGCTCCTTCGGCTGCGCCATCTCGCTGCCTACCGAGCTGCTGCGCTTCAGCTGCTGACTCTGCTGCTCAGCTGTTCCTCCTCAGCAGCTCCTCTGTCACTTGTGTCAACGTGTGCATCTGCCTGCTTCTATTCACACCTGCACTGCTGGCTGCTTAAGACCGCTCTGACTCCGCCTCCAACAGACCTGGATCAGGTAACGGGACGCACCTGCGAATGACAATTAGCTCATAGCAGGAGCAGGAGCGTCACAGTGAGAAAAAAAATCCCAAGTAAAAATAGGAATAAAATATGTTTATCACGCAAAAAATGAGTGATTGTGTTTCGGTGTATGTGTGTGTGTGTGTGTGCGTGCACGCTGCTGTGTTGCGCAACCGGCTTATCCATCCATTCTGAGTCTGAAAATATTAACTTTGCACATGAGTTTATTACCATAATTACTGTAAACACAGAGGAACTTAAATGTTTAGTAGAACATAGATCTTAGTTTATTTCATAGCTGATATGAAGAAACGAGTCTCTGCGTCTCAGTAGAGTTCACATGACGTGATGTGATGTTGGAGAGTCTCCATAAAAGCTGCGCGCGCTGCAGCCTTTGTGCACAGTCTGTCTGTCTGTCAAACTTTTGCTGTCCTACTTTACAACTTAAGTGTACTTCCACATGTCATTTTGGAGAAATCTACAATGTAAACGCCAAGAATGAAACACCTCCACTCCCAGCGAGGGTGCGCGTGCTCAAGCGCGACCATAACTCAGCCTTCAGAATCATATGGATGAGACCATTCCATTGGTCATGATTCAGCTTTGGGTGGACTGGACTGAGTCCCGATCGGTCTGCCAGCTCCCTCTGGAAAGCTCTTGTGGAACCCCAGTTCAATCACTGCTGCTGCTGCATGTGGCGCATGCAGCTACTTACTGCTTCGCGCTCCCAGAGCGCAGCAGTGCCAAACTAAAAAAAATGATTTTTCCTCAAAACGGCTGATGAGCCACTCGTCATCAGAAAATTCTGTTTATAAATAAAAGCTCTGCGTGTTACACTATTTATTATATCCTCCAGTAAGGCTGAATCTGTTCCTGTTAAATGTATGTTTGGCACAACTTTGCGCGCCCTTTATTTAACTGCATCCATGTAGATGTAATAATTGTTTGGTGTGAACAATAATCATTTTCACATCATGAACAGTTTCTCAGAATCACCTCTAAGTGTCGCCAATGGAACCAYAGCCACAGAAACGTGCGTACACCAGCCCTGGAGTTGGCGTGGGGCTGCYCACATTTCCACGTTCAGTTGAGTTTTGATACATCCGGAGTTTTTGCGCGGAAAATGGCGTACGCAAGGTTTTTGTGTGTACGCACCTTTGATACATGAGGCCCCAGGTGAGTAGGATGACTGTATAAAAAGCATCTTAGAGAGACCGAATACCTCAAAAAGTAAACATGGGCAGAGCTTCACCTGTCTGTGAAAAAGTGTCTAAATATTGTTTTCTGTTCCGAACATCACTGCATGAACTCAGGAACAGTTCTACAAATTATTACCTTTKAACACAGTGTGCCGTCCTCTAAAGCAGGTTTACGACATTATTTGCAAATCATCACCTTCTGTTTTATTTACATTTCAAACGATCTGTTAGTGTAAAGAAGAAATGTTTTATAATATATCAAGGGAATGTGCTCTCTGTTTGATATTTTTTCCCACTTCAGAGTCTAGAAATATATCCAATATGTGCCCAGTGATGTAAATTTATAATAGGAAAATAAGAATGAAGGGTGAAGCAACGTTTTGTTCACTTTTGGTTTTCACCATAGTTGGACATTGAGAATGAAGTCAACAATGAAATGGCAAACAAGATGTCTCTGTTCTATGCTGAGGCTACACCCATGCTGAAAACACTCAGCAACGCAACAACAAACTTTGTCACTGAGGTGAGAGCGTGAACATATGCGTGTTATCTAAATCTGATTGACCATTTACACTTGCACATGAACAAACACTGGTGGCATAAACTGTGCTTACTAAATACATGTAGCTTTGAGGTCTGTAGTTAAATTATGTAAAAAATATTTATTTTCAGTCTTGTTTCTTTTGCACACGCAGAACAAAACTCTCCCTTTGGATAACACAACAGATTGTCTCAGCACCATGGCCAGTGTCTGTAAGGTCATGCTCGAAACACCGTGAGTTTTTTTTATGCACAAAAACAATGTATTATAAAATGAATCCTACAGTTTAGAAACATAACTGTGGGATAAATCTTGTACCAGCAGGAATTGACTTTGAATTGCTCAGATTGAATCTGAATGTGTATAATTTGAAATTAAATGCACTGGTTTGAAAATAGATGTTATTAAATTGAAACTGAATTTTAAGTTTTGAATTTGAATTTATTTGCTTTGAAACTGTATTTTGGTTTATTAAAAATTCGGTTTGACTACTTTCACTTTCAGATCCATAATTAAATTTTCATTTCCAAAATTCAGATTTTTGTGTCACACATCCTGGTCCTTGAGAAAGCCAGGCAGAGTAATCAAACACAGATCCACAGATTTATGTTTCACTTTGGTGAAGTTTCCCTTCT